TCTTCTGTTGCCATCTCTTGAAATCAAGCCCGTTGAATTTTTCGGGCTTCTCAGCAGTGGGGACATGAACAGCTCGTACCGGATTATTAACAACTGGGTTGACCGGATGCTGATGTTGAGAACCTTCTCCGGTGGATGCCATCAGTTCAGTAGGATGACAATATTCTTCTTGCGATTGTTATCAACTGGTATAAAATACTAGAAAATTACACGGGAATCCTACGAACTGATAAGTAATTTTTCAGTTCTTACAAATAATCTAAAATAGAAAATTACAATCGAACTGAAAAAATAAATTACAATAGATAAAATCAAATTACAACCGGAAAATTAAATATTACAGAAAGATTTTAGCCGAGGCGAGTAAAACTCTTTCCGCAAGAAGAATACGCCTCGTGTGGCTGCTAACGGTTCAGGCGTAACTTCCCCAAAGATACAACGGCAAACGTCTCTAAATCTGTAGCACACCAGATTTACGAGCTCCGGCGAACTAGAACGGAGTCGAGAATTGAGCACTTAAAAATAGGAATAAAAATATCACTCTTATGTTATTTTGATAACAAATAAATATTTCTATATTTTTCTCTCTGATATTTTTATCCCTTCCAAATTATTTTGGAATGATTTTTCTTCCTTTTTCTTTCCTTTCTTTCTCTGTTTTCTTTTCTTCTCCGTTTTTCTCCCGTCCGAACTCCCCCTATTTATAGGGAATTGAGCATATGGGGGACGTCTTAATTAGGCCAATTGGCCAATTAATTTATGATTAATTGTGGATCTAGATCTGTAAACCAATTTTTTTTTTTTATTTTATTTTTTTATTTTTAATTAACAAACAATTGGGGCGGCTGCATGTGGCACCGCCCCTACACTTTTCTCCAACAAAATCTTCGTCAAAGACAACGTAGTGTGGAGGATTATACTGAGGAATTTTATAAACTCTTGGCCCGGGTAGATATTCGTGAAACTCAGGAAGATTTGATTTCTCATTATATTGGGGGATTGCGTGTCTCTATTCAGGATGTGTTGAATATGTTTACACCGGCTTCCGTTTATGAGGCTCATCAGCGGGCTTTATTGGTTGAGCAGCAGCAGGCCCGGAAGGTGGGCACTTCTTTTGCCTACAAAGGAACCTCTTGGGACTCCGAGTACCGTGCCGTCTGTAGCGAAGACTCCGTTCAATTTGAGTGCTCCTTCTGAAGGTTGTATGGTTGGCCTCACGATGCGGAGTGGCAATCGGCAGTCTAGTGGTCCGCGTTATTTCACTAGTGGTGAGCTTGGGCATCGCCAGACACAATGTCCGAAGGCGGAAGGGTCACGGGCGTTGATTGTTGACGAGCCAAACTCCACTGCTTACGATGGTCCTCCAATTTTCGATAAAGAGTCGGAGGTTCTCGAAGTGCATGTTTCCGGAGACGTGGGTCACGCGTTTGTCCTTTGTTGGTCTCTTCTGTCTCCCCACTTCTCTTCCGAGGATATGGTCCAGCGACACCACATTTTTTAATCCACATGCACCATTTGGTGGCCGGGTGTGCCGTTTTGTCATTGATTTCGGTTCTTGTGAGAATGTGATTTCGAACGCGACTGTGACGAAACTGAGATTGTTAAGTGAGCCGCATCCGGATCCGTATGCTCTTGCGTGGATACAACATGATGATTCTGTTCGTGTCACCCAACGCGTGCTGGTGACCTTTTCTATCGGATCCTCTTATAAGGACATGACATGGTGTGATGTCGTGCCTATGGACTCTTGGCACGGTTTATTAGGACGACCTTGGCAATTTCATCGCTCGGTGGTACATGATGGACGCCTCTAACACATATAGTTTTTATTTGAGGGCGTCCGGATAGTCTTGCATCTGTCGTCATCCAGTTTTGGTCCTTTGCCATCGTCGTCTCCAATTTTATTCGTTTCTCGCGCCGAGCATCGTCGACGGGGTTGTCCAGGACGCCGACGAGATTGCGGATTCAAGGTTGAATCATCTCCACCCGGGGGATAATGATGCCGACGAGATTGCATTAGCATATCTCGACAAATATGATAGACTCGTTTCATTAGTTTGAATGTTATTCCGTTTCTTCTTCTTATTATTATTATTTATATCTATGTTGTATTGGGCTTGTTATGTTTATATTTATGTTGTATTGGGTTAGTTGTAGTTGGGCTTTAAAATGATTAGGACTTTGTATTGAAGGGGATGGGATTATCCATTTTCTGGTAGTTGAATACCATTTGAAAGAAAATAACTGTGTTCATCGTTCCTGTACAATTCTTCCCCATCATATGCTTCCACCTACATCAAACGCCTTGTACTTTTTTCTTTTTTTTCGTTAAATGTAAATATATATATATATATATATATATAAAAGATGATTTGGACTACCGTTTAACGGCATACAAATGCGTAATGGGCAACAATTAAGGCGGTTCCTCATTCGCCAAATAAAGATATACGAGGCCAACCACAAGTCAGTTGATCACTCACGGGTAAAAAAAAAATTCATTCATAGGTCTCGTACAACAGTTCATTAGGCACACGTAGGAGAAAACAGTACTGAAAACCGAGATCATTCAGACCCAAACGGGCCAAAAACATCCACTAGGCCGGGCTGGGTCGCGGGCACGAGCTCTGGTCACGGGCCATGAGGTGTTGGGGCGCTAGGGACTCGCAGGAGGGCCCTCGCGGGCACAGGAGCTTTCGCGCGCGCAGAATTTCACGTCTGAAGGAGCGTTGGAACTCGCAGAGGAGGACTCGCGGGCGCAGAACTTGGTTCGCGAGCAGGCAGACACTCGCGGGCGCGGGAGCCATTTCCCAAACATTTTAAAAAATTATTTTTACAAAAAATATATCGAGTTTTTTTTTCTAAATATCAGAGTTAAATTTTCGCAAACATTTTAAAAAATTATTCAGCGGGCATTACTCAACTTATCTCAAATCAATAGCTTAAGCTCCAACTTAAGTAATTGGGAATAAACCATCCCAGATCAACATTTCAAGCCATGCATGCTCAATTCAAAACATCTCAATCTCATCAATTTCAAATCATAAGTCATGACATGCATAATAATCCAGTTTCATGATCCATAACAAATCTAAAATAATACATCAATCTAGCATCAATATAATAAAAATAAAGCGGAAGCAAATAAACAGTTCATAATCACAAGCAAGTAGACCCCGCTCGCTTGTCTTTTGCCGCAGCTACCAGTTCAACCTGAAAAGGGATAAAATAGTGGGAGTGAGCAACCGACTTACCCACTGTGGGAATACCATGTAGTCTATTCAATATAATGACTTAGAATCATAATCGCTGCATGAACACAAATCATCTAGTCTACCTCATATACCGCCCTACGCTTATGTGATCACATCTACACCGTCAGCACAACATCAACGGGAGCTAAACCGTCGGCACAACATCAACGGGAGAAACCTCTCATTAGGCACAAATAGGAGAACGTCCGCACAACTTCAACGTGAGAACCTCTTATAGACTGACGGTTCACATACATACATTAATTATCAGGTCAGACAATTATAAAGAATAACATACTCGGTAAGCTTTATCAACACCCACCTGTTCCGACGACAGGAAGATATCACACAACAACTCGTTAGGTAGGTGAGGCTCGACTCCTCCTGGACCTACATATAAATCAAGATAATATCTCAAAATATTTATCTTGATAACTTAGAATTTCCTCAAAAATTCCTACTTAATAAAAAATTATCGATTAAGTAGTTTGTGGAACTCTTGTGGAATTTGAAACTCTCAGAGAATTGGAACAAGGCTCGAAATAATGGTCACGAGGTTAAAATTAAGGTCGGCTCAAAAATGGGTCGAACGGCTAAAAAACGGACGAGTGGAAACTTAAAAACCAAATTAATGAAAAACGGATAGTTCTTCTACGCGTAGTCCCCGTAAAACAAACGTAATTTTGATGTAGAAAACATTTTAGAATGATTTTTGAAGTTAAAGAAAGTCAAGAGATAGATTTACATTTTTCGTGAAGACCTCGAAGGCAAACGAGCAAGTTCAAATGAAGAAAGCTGGTCCCACAGCAGAAACAATGTGTTGCCCTTTTGACAGAAAAACTGCTCGCGCAGTGATAGTATTCCGGACGTAAATTTTTATACAAAATTGATAATGGAATGAGTTTTGTGTTGTTAGAAACACAAGAAGCAAATTTACACTTAATTTTTAGACTTCAAAAACTTTTGACTTAAGGACGATGTCCAAAAACAGCAAGGAACGAACAATTTTGCACGACTATGATAAATAACAAAATTGACTACGCGACGTTCAAACTTTCAACATATTCAATATAAAAATGATAAACACTTGATTCTTTTCCTCATGAAAGATAACAGATTGGGCTACAATGTATATGAAGACTTCGGAAAGAGACGGCAAGGTTTCTGTGCTCAAAAACAACAAGAATACTGACAACATATAACCTCGAAAAACCAGAAAAAAACTGGACGCGCAATCATCGAACTTTGGCCATAATTTCCAGTACAATATTGATAATAACCTAATTCTTTCTCCAGATGAAACATAAGAGGCTTAACTTTAAATCACCATAAAAGCTCAAAATCATTCAATTGAGTTTTAGAGGTCAAAAACAATAATGAAAACAACACGTTACACAAAGGTTTTCAAAAAGGACTTATCAAGCTCAACACCAAACGAACATCAATCATCACTAGACCAAGGCTCGGATAACGAAAAGAATGGGCTAACTTGCAGCCTATCTCGCCAAAACCCACAGCCCGGTTAGACTGTATAGGCCCGCTCTTCAGTAGGCTCCCAAAACCCCAACCGAATTCATCCTTTCGATAGAGGCAGGACGGGATGACTCGCAAACTTAAACCCGTTTTGACAAGTCTATCTATAATAAACTGTAGACGGGACTAGAGGACTAGAGATAAGTGTTGGGGCAAAGTCGTTTTATATATATGACCGACTTTAAGTCACATTGTCGGTGTCAGCATAATTAAGGAAAATAACCCAACAACGTAGATGGACGAAAATAACCCACATCTCATTTCTGATTTCTCATTCCGTTTCATAGAATCTCCTATTCGTCTCCTCAATTTTGTAGCTGTGAGAACAGATCCATCGAGAAAAAACATAAAGGAAAAATGGCTCAGCTAGCTAAAATCGCCGGCCGCGGCCTGCTCTCCCAGACGATGCCCTACCACCACCGTGCCGCCCTCGCCTCCATCCACACCACCGTCCCTTCTCTCGCGGCGTCCTCTGGTTCCGCCCCCACTCCTTACGCCTCCGCCCGTCCTCCGGCGACTTTATCCCCGGCCGGCCTACCGAAGGCAGCGGAGTACGTGATTTCGAAGGTCGATGACCTCATGAACTGGGCCCGACGCAGCTCAATCTGGCCGATGACTTTTGGGCTGGCCTGCTGCGCCGTGGAGATGATGCACACCGGGGCCGCGCGCTACGATTTGGATCGATTTGGGATAATTTTCCGGCCTAGCCCTAGGCAATCTGATTGCATGATTGTTGCTGGCACTCTCACCAACAAGATGGCACCTGCCCTTCGCAAGTGAGCTTCCATTTATATATTTATTCTGGTGAACTTCGAATATAATTTGATCTAATTTATGGGTATGCTAATTAAAATTGATCATGTAATTGGTTAAGATAGGTCATGGAATTGATTAATTTCGGTATTTGAATACTCGAATTATGTTTGGCCAATCCAAATTAGGGTAATTTCGTTCCCCTTTCATTTTTTATTTTATTTTTCTGCCCAGCATGTTATTTATTTTTATTATCCGATCTCTAAATGCTTTCAATTTTTATATACCAATATAAGTGTTAGAAATGGTTGCAAATCTTTTAAAGCAGAAGTAGGCCTGGGCTGTGGAGACATGATGGACATAAATTTTCTTATATTAATGGTAGTCCTGCTGATGTGCAATCAAGTTCTGAACTAACTTTTGTATTTATATGTGCAGTGCTATTTTCCAAACTCTTCAACTGAATAAAAGGAGTATTATCTCTGTTTATATGGTTGTCATTAGCTTATAATATCTGAGTCATGCTTCAAAGCATGTAACTAAATAACTAGACTTCTTCCACATTAAATCTCATCAAATAATGGTAGATATCATAGAAATGGCATGGTGTTTCAATTATCAGCTGCGTTTTCTTCTTTCCATCTCTCTTCAGTATCTTGATTGCCTTCTCAACCAGCCAAAGGTAGGAAGCTTATCATGACTTCTTTACATGTAGTAATTTTGTGGACTTCACAGTATGGTAATGTTTTTATGTAAATCTGTATTTCCAACCATAGATGAGATAATAAATCAAGCCTTAGACCTGGAAATTTTGGTGAAACATGAATTTCATGTAGTTAAAATTCAATCGAAGTCCCTGATGTCTTCTTTTATTCCTGAAATGAAATTGGTGCATTGCTTACCAAGACTGTCACATCTTGCCTTTTTTCATCTATTTTTAAGCTTCTTCTGTATGTGGAAGAGCTGTGAGATTATTTCTGCACAAGTATGTAACTCACTGAATAGTATATACGATTTCTAAGGAACGCTACCACTTCAAGTAGGAGTTCTATCGCACCAGTAGCTTTCCATTTTGGGGATATAAGATAATTGTGTTGGACAATCTATAGCTAGTTGGGTGGAAAATCAAGATTGTTCCAAGGATAGAATGAAAATGTCCCGTCTTGCCATCTTTAGCCTCAAATATGGTTGTTTACTACATTAGAAGAGGGCCATTGACCTGAAGTATTAGTTGGTTCATTCTGTAAGATCTCTCTCGCTTTTTATTCTCTTGGTGTTTTATATGCTGTGGAACGAGCACTTTGGTTAGCTTTCATTGGACAATGACTTCTTCCATCATCTTCTACTAAGAGGAGAATGACATTGTGCTATTTCTTTTCTTGCATGATCTGGTTTTAGGTTAGTCTCTAGAAGAGACTTGGGTTGTTCCCTAATTTTGTGACCTGAAATATATTTGGTACCATTTTCAATCGAATAATATTTTGGGAGTACTTCTTCCTTACCATCACTTCATAAAGGAGTCGGCGATTTAAATAATCATAAAACCGTCAAATAATACTAGCCCGGACTTTCTCTAGGGTAATATGTTCCTGCTGCTATTGTCACGAGTGCTATGTAATGTTCAATTTGTTTACCCTTTTTGGAACATACAATAATAGGTGCCTGCATCTTAATCTGAAATATAAAGAGGTGTCATGTATTATCTAGCTAGAGGCACTTTCTTGACTCATAGAAAATCTCCTTATGCAGAGTCTATGACCAAATGCCCGAGCCAAGGTGGGTGATATCCATGGGAAGCTGTGCAAATGGCGGTGGTTACTATCACTACTCATACTCGGTTGTTCGAGGCTGTGATAGGATTGTGCCAGTCGACATATATGTTCCAGGTTGTCCTCCCACTGCTGAGGCTCTTCTCTACGGTTTGCTCCAACTGCAGAAAAAGATCAACAGGCGCAAGGATTTCCTTCACTGGTGGACCAAGTAAATGCTGTTGTCACTTGGCTTTGCAGTCTGGCTCCATGTTTGCTGAAAAATAACTAAACTGGTTGTTTGTGTTAAACTATTTGGATCTTGTGATTTGCTGTGTTTTTGCTTTCTGTTGCGACTTGCGCCAAGTGTGACTGACCTTAAGGGCTTTTTTTCTCCTTACTCTATTTTGTTCCCTTTCTTTGTGCTTTGTACCCCCAATATGGAAATGTATGGTGATTGTTTGTCATGTATGTGGTTTGTTGATGGAAATAATGGGAGAAAGGACATTTGGCAATGCTTATTGTTATTTCAATCACACAGACACCGCATGAATGCTAAGTGTTATATTGTATGGGTTTATGGTCAGGTGAAGATCTATCACCTGGCAAGATAATTTGGGTAATGTGAAAGAATGAAGATAGTGAGAGGGCATGGACGAAACACCAGAATTTCACATTAATTAATAGAATGATTTAATATAATTTTCTTTTGTTGATATTATTTTAGAATCTAAAAGGTTCCATTATGTTCAATTGACAAATGAAAAGATATTTCAATTAAAATCAACTATTGTGTAGTCGTGTCAATGCATGAGTAAAGAATATTATATAATAGTTATAAATTAAAAATGCTAATAAACAATATTAAATAATATTGACACGATTAAAGGATATTATATAATAGTTATAAATTAAAAATGTTGATAAACAATATTAAATAATAATTATAAATTGAAGATGTGGGTAAACAATACTAAATAATAATCTATAATTATATAATAAGAATTAACATTTATCAAAATTAGTAACTTAACTAATGGTCAAAGTCAGTTTTGCATTTATTACTTTCCAAATCGGTAACTCTTATGTCCATTTCACACGCAGCATTTATGTCTTTTTCACACGCCTTTTAAACTCATTAATTACACCGATTTAATTCTCATGAAATAACCCCAATTCACACGCCTCATTAATAGCGTCCTTATCGCATAATTTTTTATGGTAACGTCCTTATCGCATAATTTTTTATGGTAACGAGATAATCCCATTTCACACGAGCATCCTTATCACATACTATTAATTTTTTATGGTAACGAAATAATCCCATTTCACATGCCCTTTAAACATATTTTTTAACGATAAATTGTAGAAAAAAAAAATCGTATTACAAGAAGAAGATATTTGGGATAATTTTAAGATTCAAAAACAAAATCCAGGTACACCTTATCAATATTCAAAACTGATATTAAGATTGTTATTCATTTCCTAAAACAAATATACGTGTTGAATTATTATCTCTAAAAAACTATACAGAACATACGCATATAAATATATGTACATATACACATATTAAATTAAATATTTGTAGATATTTTTTCTTTACAAAATAGTCTAGAAAAATCTCTTTTACACAATGTTAAATTCAAATGTTCTTAGATACTCCCTCTGTTTCGTTTTAAATGTCGTTGTAGGGTGTCAACTTTTTTGCAAATTAATTGTCGTTGGAAATATTATATTCATTCTTACATCTTTATTCTCTTTAACAAACATTATCTCTTATCATTATCTTTAAAAACCACCCATTAATAAGTCAAAAACTAAATTTAATAAGATTAAAAAATAAGATTATTACACAACCAATTAAAATCGTAATTTAGAAGTTTTAAATTAAAACGACATTTAATAAGAAACGGAGGGAGTATGTTTTCCTTCTAAAATTGTTTAGAAAAGTTGTAGGTGACTTCACATCTTTCAAAAATAATATAGAAAATTTTGTATACTTTTACATATATACTAATATAATATTTTAGGTGTTTTTAATATTAAACATACAAATTTTATATTCTCTTATACAATATAATGTAAATTTCATATTTTCTTATACAAAATAGTTTTACATTGTTTGATCCCGAATCTTTAATTTATTATTATTAAGTATTGTTTATCTTCCTCTTTAATTTATAATTATTATTTTTTTCTTCCTCTTTTTAAATAGGATCAATAGTAGTTTTCACTTCCGTCAGTGACTCAAACTCGAGATCTATTTATAATATTGTTAATTTAATATTGTTCACGTGCATTACACGGGGTACTGACTAGTTAAAAATTAAACAAAATCATCTTTCACGGAGACCTTACCTGTTTTATTTTTGACTTTTCAATATTCAAAAATATCATCTTCCACGGAGCAATTCATCCGCCACTTCTGCAATTTTTGAAGATTCAGTTCTCGTTAAGATATTTTTTCAAGAAAAATATTACAAGTACATAATAAATGTACATAGAGGTGTACATAACACTCACATGAAGTGGGATCCACTTAATCTTTTATTATTGGTAGGACCTACTCAATGTCAGTGTTATGTACATCTCTATGTACATTATTATGTACATATAGCACTACTCTTTTTTTAATTTATATATTTTTATTAAATTCAATGTCTTTTCCACAAGAAATTTTTGACACGTTGTCCTCGACTTCGTTGCTGCGCGTCTTTACCACCGCCCAAGACGGCACTTCGTTGTTTGTACTTCGCTTTTTCAACTAATGTAGAATAGAACCGTCACATTTTACATTAACTTAGTGTAATAATAATTTTAAACTAATATATTATATAATAGTTACTACTAATACTAACTAATAATAAATTTACATTAAATCGCATGTGAAATTTACATACTTATAGAAAAATTTATTCCAATTTTTTTTTCTACAAGATATTTATTCTACAATAAATATTATTTTTTCGTCTTATTAAGCAAGTTTTTTTGTAATATTAGTTAATTGGTTCGAGTGGCATAATTAAACTACTTAAAATCACAAAACCAATTGCTATAACAATAAATAAAAATAATTGTAACACTATTCTAACTAATTATTTAGATTATCTCTCTAAATTATAAACTTACATTTTCCATTATATTTTTATGTCATCAATATAATTATTCATATGTAAGTTAAGTAATTTATAAATACACCCATTGTCTATTTAAAATTATTAATATTATATATATATATATATATATATATATTTTATTTTTGTTTGTCTCTGTGCATGTGCACATGGTCGAATACTTAGAGCATCTCCAATGTGACTTTTGACATTGCAAAAAATTATCCATATCATCAACTTTTGAAAGTTTATTACTAATTTATTCTCCAATGCATCTTGTCATTAGCTCTTTCATGGTGATGTGGATGGCATTTAATGTTAACAATGTTGACCTCACTTTCTAATATCTAACACCATGTTAAACATGATGACTCATTAATTCACTTTATATTTGGTTTAATTTTTTATTATTCTTGTATTAATGAATTATTATAATTGGTCCACCTATACAAATAAATTCTTATCAAATTGGTGCATTGGAGATACTAGTTTGCTTCAAATTTTTAGTCTTTTAACATTATTCTTATGTGGATTAACATTACAATCATCAATTGACATGTGTTAAAAATTATTGCCTTTCAACACCATAGCATTGGAGATGCTCTTATACTAGTAGGTATGTACATTAGCCAACTATAATTAATGGCCTTGATGTAGGTGTGGCCAAATGGCAGGCCGATTCACGACCAGGCCTGGCTCGGCCAGGCGGGTCGTAGGCCTCAAAAGCGGGACCCGAAACTGGCCCGGCTAATCTAAGGGCCGATTCAATTGAACCAGCCAATTTTTTTAACAAGAAATGAAAAATAATCACGACCCATCTTCCAACCCGGAACCGGCGGGTAAAAAAACTAAGACCCGGTTCCGGGCCGGTTCGACCCTTGCCACCTCTACCTTGATGCTCTTATATAAGGCCTCTCTCAAGTGGGCTTCCATCATGTTGCTTCGCTTCCAGTAATCTCAGTCCAAGGTAATAGACGGGCTACAGCCCATTTTTCAGATTTAACTTGACAAAAGTATTAGTAAAAAATAATATCTACTTTGTTTGGTTTTCATTACAAAGGATATATACATATTTATTTATTTTTTTATTTATTTCTATATATAAATTTATACATTTCCAAATATTGATTGATTTATAGTGTATAAAAAACTATTAACAAATTATAAGGGAATTAAGTTTTATAATATAACAAGATAATGCATTTATAATTTAAGCTGGGAAATAATTGCTATATAATATTAAAAAATCTAACTTACATGCATACCCTAATCGAAATCCCAACTTACGTGGACATTGACCAACTTGGAAACTTATATTTAATTAGGAATTCTAAGGACTTTTTAATAATTTAGAAATATTGGTGTATTCAATTTAGATTTGTTACAACTTTTTAAAATCCTGGGGTATTCAATTGGGATTTTAAAAAGTCTTACAAAATCATGAGATATTTATAATTTATTTGACACTAGATTTATTAAGACTTTTTAAGACTTTGTGGGATTTCTAAACAAAAAACTTTATATGAAATCTTACTTCAAATCTCAATTGAAATTTAAAAAAGTCTCAAATTGTCACTTGAAATTCCAATTAACGTTTAAAAAAGTCTCAAATTGTCACTTGAAATCTCAATTGAATACACCCTCCACAGATTGTTAACCCATATTTTTTTTTTTATAAAAAATATATAATAGATAGGTGAATATTAAAGATGAACAAGGAAAAGGAAAAACAAGTGGAAAAGTAGGTTGATGATCACATGCCCCATAGGCAACTCACAAGTTTCTCAAGATATGCATCTCTAAGCTAGCTGTCCACGCTATTTGATTTAATTATGGGGTTGACATATTTGCAACCACAACTTCAAAAAAAGGAGGTTTTAATGTTTTATGCAACTTGCTCCACTTGTAGGATTGTTATATAAACTCTTCACATAGTATATGCACTTTAAAGCTACAGGTCTTTATGCCTCCATTCACACAAACACACACACACACACGGGCAAAGTTGTGAAACTTTATGATCATTAATTTTCTCAAAATTACATTACCTTTTCATTTGTGATATGATGAGGTTAGCTCTTATGCATATGTATCCAATTATAATACTATTATATTAAACCTTAGTGCATTAATATCCATATAATATACATGTGTGCATAATATATAAAAAAAATTAAAATAAAAATAGACGTTTCTATTTTAGAAAATGACATCCGTATATCACAAGGGCCACATTAATATACATTCGTGTGTGTGTTAAACTCGTATCATAATTAGGCCAATTCTAAGCATAATTATTGATTGGCAAATATGTATGATAAACAGCCATATTCGATTAATTAATAGCAGATTTTCACTTGGGATGGATAAACCATGTTTTACAATAGACCAACATACTTTTTCACAAATATCAATATTTTATTAAAAAATGACTTTAAATAAAAAAACTAATACAAATAGAACAATAATATTTAACAATATCAATATTTATTTTTATTAAAAAAATTACGAAACCACATGTTAGTTAGACTGCCTCACAGAATTTGTGCATGCATATATTGA